CGGCTTTATCTCCTCATTGAAATAATCTCTGATTTGTAGGTAAATGTAGAAATCTTTGTTTTCTAAGTCATATTCTCTCCTTAGTTTTAGAAAACTTTTGATTTCTCCTTTTTCGATTAATGTGTCAATAATTGTTATGCCTCTTATTTGCCCACTGTTTAAACCTCTGGTTTAGAGTCCCTGGTTTGAAATTAGTGTCATAGGCCATCCAACTCAAAATCTTTGCCTCATTCTCCAATTTGTATTTCTTAACTACTTTAAACCAGATTCACAAGGTGAACCCAGTGATTGAATTCAATAATCCCTCCTTTTCCTTATACATGTTTCTGTTCGCAATCATACTCTGCACATGGCACCCTTCCATGTTCAACTCAATCTCCTTCCATCCTGTAAAATAATTAGCATCACACCAACCTATCAAGGGCCGGAGTTGAGCGGCATAATATTCTTGGAGGTTAGGCAGTGCCGAGCCTCCCTCGTCTTTGGGTATCTGAAGTGTAGGGAATCTAATTCTCGGTTTATGCCCATTCCAGATGAATCATGAATTTTTTTGTCCCACTCTTGAAACTGAGAGGGAGGGATTTGCACCGGCAAACACTGAAACAAGTACAAGAGTCTTGGTAGCACATTCATCTTGATGATTTCAATCCTTGAGCTGAAATCTAACATCAATACTGACCATCTATCCATATCCTTAAACATCTCCTGGTTAAGGGGTTTGTAATTAATTTCAAACAATTTGGATAATGTTTTTGTAATGTTTATTCCTAAGTAATGAATTGTTCTTTTGCTCCAGTTGAAATTATATGTTTGTTGTATTTCTTTAGCTGGTGAGTAATTAAATGGCAAGATCTGTGTTTTCTGCACATTTAGTTTATATCCTGAAAGGTAACCATCATTTTCCAATAGTGTCATCAACTCTGGAAGACAGGTGTCTGGTTGTTTTAGATGAATCAAAACATCGTCTGCGAATAGCCAAATTTTGTGCTCCCTGCCTCCCACTTCCACCCCCTTATTTCTTCATTTTGCCTTATTGCTTGAGCGAGCGACTCAATAAAGATTGAGAAGAGCGTAGGGGACAGACAGCAGCCCTGTCTGGTAGACCTTTCTACCTTAAACTCTCTGGTTAGACTCCCATTTATTCTTGCCCTTGGTTCCTGATATAATGTCTTAATACAATTAACTGAGTCTTGGTTGAACCCAACCAAACTAATTAATATAGCACTCTCTCCTTTTCTTTTTATTTCTTCAATTATATGTAGCATCCTTCTTATATTATCTCACGTCTGTCTTCCCTTGATAAAACCCGATTGATCTTCATGAATCAATTCTGACATAAAGGTTTCAAATCTGTTACATAAAATGGATGTGTACAACTTGTAGTCACAATTTAGCATCGATTGCTCTTTCCTTTTTAACCCCTTAGTTACTGAACAAATCACTCAGGAGAGTTAGGACCACATTAATTTGAAAAATCAAATTGAAGAGATTAATATGGTTATTTTAGTCTCTAGTTCTATCAGAAGAGCAGCTGCCTGTTTGAATATGACGCACGTGGAGCATCTTGTGAAGTTATACTTTAGTAAAGGTTTACTTCCTGTGTAGTCTGTAAAACAACAGTTTGTGTTGGGGCTAAAGGGTTCTCCTTCTGATACAACCCTTCAGAGAAATCATTCAACTTTAAAAATGATGTTTAAAAATACTTTTAAAATAGACATCTGAAATATTCAACACAAAGCGAACGATTCACGTTTGAAAAAGAGCAGAGCTACAAATAAACAAAGACATACAGGAAGTGTTTTTATTCTTATATGTCATGTCATGAGCTGCAGTACCATGTGACAGACAGCAGGGAGCAGCATCACACTCTGAGAGCTGCAGTAAAACAACCTGCTGCTCCAGAGGAGGAAGAGGAAGAGAGAGAGGAGAGAGAGGAGGAGGAAGAGGAAGAGAGAGAGGAGGGGGAGGAGGAGGAGGAGGAAGAGGAGGAGGAAGAGCAGGAGGAGGAAGAGGAAGAGAGAGAGGAGGAGGAGGAAGAGGAGGAGAGAGAGGAGGGGAGGAGGAGGAAGAGGAGGAGGAGAAAGAGAGAGAGGAGGAGAGAGAGGAGGGGGAGGAGGAGGAGCAGGAAGAGGAAGAAGAGGAGGAGGAAGAGAGAGAGGAGGAGGAGGAAGAGGAGGAGGAGAGAGAGGAGGGAGAGGAGGAGGAGGAAGAGGAAGAGGAAGAGAGAGAGGAGGAGGAAGAGGAGGAGGAGGAGGAAGAGAGAGAGGAGGAAGAGGAGAGAGAGGAGGAGGAAGAGGAGAGAGAAGAGGAGGAAGAGGAGGGGGAAGAGGAAGAGAGAGAGGAGGAAGAGGAGGAGGAAGAGAGAGAGGAGGAAGAGGAGAGAGAGGAGGAGGAAGAGGAGAGAGAAGAGGAGGAAGAGGAGGGGGAAGAGGAAGAGAGAGAGGAGGAAGAGGAGGAGGAATCCAGAGAGAACACAGAACTTTGTAGATCTTTGTTTTTTACATTTTGATAAATGACTTTGAGCGTGTGTGGCCCTTTAAGTGAGCCGCGGGGCCCCTCCACGCCTCGCTGAGCTGCTCTCACTGCCTTTGTTAGAGTTCAGAGAGGGAGGGGGGGCGTCCAGTCCTAAACCAGGACCCTCCTCAGACCAGAGAGCAGGACGAGGACACAGAGACGAGCTGCAGCGAGCGAGCGGTGAGTTTTTAAACGAATAAAACAGAAAAAAAAGTTTTAAAGTAAAAAAAAGAATCTGTTATTTGAATGATCGACAGAATGAAGTCACAAAGATCAGAGCAGAGTGAATCAAAACCTGCATCGGAAATGTTGACAACGCTTTAGTGCAGTTTGGACAGCGTGCAGCGAATTAGTCTGCAACTATAGATGATCAAAAACTATAAACAACCCAACATTGGGTGTCTTAGACTTTTATTGTTGTTGCTGTGGTAACCAACAGGTTTGAATAAAGTCTGATTCTTATTAGACGGTCACCTGAACACGTTTGTTTTTCTTAACTTTGACAGAAAAAGATTTTCATGACATTAAGTTTCAGAACAGATAAATTCATATCAGCTGTTTAATTTAAACATTTGATACCATTAATCTTTTATCACATAATTCATGTCATGTCTCAACACTTATATCAGTGGTTGTTATCTCATAATTTAAAGGTGACATCTCCTCCTCCTCCTCTTCAGTGTAAATAAGTGTCAGAGCTCCTCAAAACATGTGTGTGAAGTTTCTTGTTCTAAATCCACTCTGATCCTGTATTTGATCATGTCTATAAACCCCTCTATTTCAGCCCTGCTCAGAACAGGCTGTTTCTGTGTCTGTACCTTTAAATATGTAAATGAGATGTGTCTGACCACGCCCCCTCTCTGGAAGTGCTTGGGTGTACTTGGTCTTTCTCGCTCCATGTCCTATTGTTTACAGTGAGAAGGCAGACTCAGAGGGCAGAACAAACACCTAGCTGTGGGAGTGTCACCCACCTGGGGGAGGGGCTACTGCCCTTTGTGATGTCATGAAGGGAAAATCTCCAAACGGCCTGTTTGAGCACACATTTTCTGAAAAGTGGAGCAGGCAGAAGACGGAGAGGATGGACTTTTCTCAACATTGGGGGGTTTGAAGACAGATTAGAGACACATGTTAGAGGAACATGGAGAAGTGGATTTAGCATCATATGTGACCTTTAAATATTTCTGTTCATAAATGAGTTCTTCTCGTTAATGAACTTCCAATCACATCGCTGAACTTTGTGACACAATCTAAATGTAAACAACAGAATCTAAAACTTTAAACTTTAAAACATTTATTTCAAACATTAGCGCTCTCAGATTCTTCGAGGTCATCGAGGTTAACTACTATCCTCGATGGCTGGAAGATGTGGGTGTGAGAATCTGTCCCACACAAGGATTTAATCCTTTTATTTAAGAGTTAGACGTACGGGGCAACAGGTCGGATTTGAACCCTGGCCCCTAACATGTAGGTCTCATGACGACAGAGAAGGTTAAAGGTTAAAGGTTAAAGGCGGGTTGGTCATTTTGAAAACTAACATGATTTTGAAAGTAGCATTCCCTCTGTGCTCCGTCTAAGGCCACGCCCCCTCACCTACATGCACGAGTGCTCTTGCTCCAGAAGCAGACCTCAGCTCATGCTTTGAGCGAGCAGGGAGACAGGGAGGCGTCTGATTGGTTCATCAGATTGGTACCTCGTGGCAGACATTGGTCAAAGTTTTTACAGACTTACAAACTGATACAGATGATGGATTTTCTTTGTTCCTTTTTCAGAGAACATGAGTTTTTAATTTCTGTCAGGACCTAAAAACAATTTACACCAAAATCTTAAAAAGTGGAGGAAATGACCAACCCTGCCTTTAACTGGGGACTGAGACCACCTTCATGTGTGTGCGTTTCTGTAAGCTCCACCTTCATCGTGTCTTAAAACATCATATTGATTCAGTGAGAGCTCCACACACACAGTCAGACTTGCGCGCGCACACACACACACACACACACACACACACACACACACACACACACACACACAGCGCTGCGCTCACTCGCTGGCTCAGCTGATCCCTCCTCTCCTCTGTAACGCACCTTGATTGAGCAGTCTGAATAGTGCTAGTGTCTGTGATTTTTAATGTTTGTTTTTGTGTGTTTCACTCTGTGTGTTTTCAGGATGTGTGTGTGTGATTTTTACTGTTTTTCTGTGAGTGTGTGTGTGTGTGCGTGAGTGTGTGTGTGTGTGTGTGCGTGCGTGCGTGCGTCTGTGCGTGTCTGTGCGTGTGTGTGTGCGTGTGTGTGTGCGTGTGTGTGTGCGCGCTGGTTTCAGGGAGTGTGTGTGCTTCCTCCCGGGGTCGGGCAGGTCCGGGATGTGGTGCACTGTTGTTGTATCTCTCTCTCTAATATTGCACTCGTCCCGGCCTCCCCGGCCCAGGGGTCACGACCCTCATGAACTCCCCCCTTCCCCCCAGGTGAAACTGGTCACGGAGTCCAGAGGAA